TTATCTCTGTTGAATTGAAAAAATACAAACAAAGTGGATTTAATAATACATCAGGCAATCATATGATCAGGTAATCCCATTACTATATTGGTTGTCATAGAAAGTCAGTGAATTTACGAACATATAAAAACGCAACGTAGGAAAACGGGCGACCACTGCAAAGCGCCTCAGTACTTGTACACAACAAGCGTCAACAACCTAATATATAGACGATTTCAAAAAGCGTTCAATGAATGCGAACTTAAAGTGATCTAATGGACATGCGTAAACCGAAGTAAATATATGGTGTGAAAGTTGAAGTAATAATCGCAGGAAATATAGTCGGCGTTATAGTAGTGTTATAAAAGTATAATATTATGCATTGAATCAGGCGGTGATTCGCTGATCACATTGGAAAGTGCACGCCACTTTGACAACTCAAATCTGTTTAAACCAATGCTCACATGATAAGTTTATTGTCTTCTATTTTAGCTCTTTCAACAACGTCTTTGAACAATCTTCTTATAATCGGAATAGATTTATCGAGATTTCGAATTTCATATTCCAACCATCTTTGGTCCATGATATTCCACGACACTTCTTCAATGAGAAACAAGATGGCGGCTCTGAAGATAAATCAACAAAATGTATTAAGCATATATAATATATATATAGAATACATGCGATTTCTTGGGTTTCCGACATCACTACAGAAAACAGTTTGGCAGTGTTATTAGCTGTGGAGGACAAATAAATCTTTGTTCCCTGTACTTCTTTCGTGAACGAAATAAGTACAAAATACCTGTAAATCAACCGATGTACATGATGTAAAGGCGCCATAGACAACGGGAAAGCGCATAGATGGTGGATTATATTATATGGATCACAACAAAAATAAACATTAGACATACATTACGCTGTATATAAGGGATTTTTGGTGGTATTTTTTGAGCGGTAGAATTAGGGCAGCATTGACAAATCATAACTTAAAGCACAGACCAATTCCTTATGAGTGTCATAAAACCAGACTCATATTTAAAGTACTGAAAAATTTAAGAATATGAATAATTAGCATTAACGCATTACAAATAAATCCTGTTCATTCCTCTAAAATAGATAATTGGGTAGACGATATATGTGACGGCGTTGTTCGCGCATCCCACTGCTTCGGCCGTACATAATCATCTAGTCTCTGAGGGTGCCTTCTTAAAACTGGCCAAACAGTGCGGTTGGTGTAGTGGGTACTGAATTTCCAACTGCTACCACCTGCAAAGTCATGTTAGATGTTGGGTACTACACATACTTTTGTACAATGTAAGTGCATCGTCAGTACCAGCTTTTACATGATATTGTGTATCTGACGTCATGTACGATCACATGGTCTGCGAATACAAGTACAAACTTACTTGTTGTTGCCATACAGTTTCCAAGCTTCGACAAAGCCTTCAGCCATTTTACCCACGGCTTTACTTTCTGGTAAACTACTTGCAATTTCCGATTTTCCGAGATTTTCCAGATTAAACCTAAAACAAACAAACAATAATTAGGGTATTTAATTGTGATATTTAAAGCAGTCTGGTGGCGATTACATCCCCATGCTTGTGTGGGTTGGGGGGTTCTTATCCCTTCAGTGGACACGAATTGCTGGTAGCTAATGGGTTTGCTATTGTTCGAACGCCTTTATAATTGCCATGTAACATAGAATACTTAACACCCAGTGTTACTCACCTATGAAGACGAGTACACTGGGTTCCAAGTCCTGCCAAACCACTGGCAATGGTATTTACTTCAACTTGTTTCAGTTGTATTTTGTCTGTTGATATGTCCGTTCCACCAGTGCAATCAAACATATAGTCACATCGTAGCATTCCTAACATAATGGACTGCATTGAAAGAACATGAAAGAACATAAGAAACCACTGTATTTGAAATGACTTAAGATATGGTGCACTGGTTGTATTGGTGGTAAGTAATTAAAGCGAGGGAGTCGTCACGTGCGCATGCGTCAGATGGCCATAGCGTGTCATTGTCTACCAACAATCGTCTACCCATGAGCCTTTGCGTTTTTAGCGTGTGTTGTTATCGTAGCTTGGGGGACTCAATTCCCTGGCGTGCACAGGTGACGACCCTCCCGCTTCAATGTAGAGTGCATTGCTGTAAAGATCACTTGCATGTTTCACACATCATTGAATGCTGTGAATTATGTAATTTATGATTACAGTAAACTGTGTATATATATATCAGTATATCATGAATCAATCTGATTAAAATCTGTTTTTTTTTATGACCCTTTATATTATATTTATTTGTATTTTAGTTTGAATATGTCGATTTTTTGTTTTTTCTTGCCGTTAATCAGTTCTTAGTAAATCGTGTCCCAGTCGCCTCTAACTACGTCTAACAAAAAAAAAATAATAATAAATTGGAGCCTCATACCTATATCGGATTTTAATCAGATTGATCATGAATATCGTTTATCAGAATAATTTTCTTTGCGGCATACCTGACATGGTATATTATTGATATAAACTTCTTCGTAAATGTCAAACAGTTTCTTCTGGAACTCATCATGTTGCATTGAACTGTAAATAAATAAACAAACAAACATGGTAATATTGTGTGTATAGCATTGCCGCAACCATTGTGTTTTATACAGTCAGGTGGAAAAAAAACATCTTCGTGTATGTCTAGAAAACAGAACGTAATTTTTTTGTATTTCACATTCAATGTTGACACATAGCTGCATATTTTTAGTTTTTAACGCCCTGTTTACGTTCACAGTATTACTCGTTTCATACAAAATACAATTCCGATCAACCATGATTACGGAAGACTTTCGGAAGTTTTTTTTTTCGAGAATCATGAAACCCCCTCAATATATATATATATATACTTCATAAATGGTAGAATTGCCACTCAATGTGCATTTCACCAGTGTATCATTAAAACCGACATTTATTTTATATTAGGTATTCATGATGAGTATCCGCATTGTACCAAGGTTAACATGTGAATACGAATGTTTACAGTAGCTATTATGAATACAGCCGTGGCAGTTACAGTCTATATAATGATTTACAGTCGTACTGCCTGGACGATGCCAAGTGTAATTGCTGAGGGAGTGTACAGTTGGTATCAGTAAGACGATGATCTACTATTTCTTTCCTTCCTCTGTACATCTGCCGTTTTAATAAATCGTCACATATCAAGTATAACAACACACATGATAACAAAAATGGAAGCACAGATTATTACACGTGAATTTATACGAAGCGCTTCTGTGACGTCATTATGACGTAGGTGGGCGAAAACAATGACTCTTATTTGTGAAATCATTATGTATTGTTCGGAAACTACGAATCACGTATTTACGTCATGAAACACTTCGTCGTAGAGGGCGGAACTTATATGAATAGTGTATTTACCTGGATAGTACTGACTTGAGAAATTGGTAGTCACGACTGATACCATGCATCAATAAATGGAAATCATTTTGTACATCAAAGGATTGATAAAATAATTTCTTTGGCACAGGAGATGGCACTAGGGTATGTGGCGTGAAACATACAACATCTGATGAGAGAGGTGTCTCTCGTCTTCTCATTACTATTCCATGTACATTAGCAAAGTCTTTACTCTGAGCGACTACGTCATCTAGGAGTGATTTCTCCAATGGCAACGAGATACACGGCTCCATCATAATAACTGGCGTGACCAAGCAAAGCAGCGGGGATCGGTATCAATCTGAGCAATAAAATGAGATTTCGTAATTACATTGTGGTTTCGTATATTAACTATGAGAGACATAAAGATAATATAATACGTGAGGGGCGTTGGTTGTAATTTTAATGACGGCTCAGTAGACCGACAGACCATTGTTGCGACATGGAGAAACAATTAGTTACTAAAGTCGCAAATGCAAATATTACTTTGAAACCAAATAACGTTTTTTTTTATATATGTTATTTATTATTTAACCAGAGGTGTAATTGTCCAAACACATATTTGCAATTATTAAAGTTACAATATCTGTTCATTTATATGTAATTGAAGTAGGACGGTATTCTAACATGCCGCATTACGTAATCAAAGACTAGTGTTTATCTGGAAGCGACCGCGTACTGTCAGATTGCATACTTTGCGGTATCCTCACAATAACCTTATTATTATACATCTCTTTTTTCCAATGATATATCATGGGAATGCCGGAATCCAAAAAGTTTACAACAGATCTAGCGAACTTCTTTGCGTGAGGGGGGGGGGGGGTAGGTTTGCGGGCAAACTCTGTGGGATGTCATGTTTGTTTTTATTATTAAATGACGCTTACGCGCGTAATCGTTCCATATTTTGAATTCACATTTCCTAATATGGTAGGATGCAAATACCAAGTGCAATACCGTAACAAGCAGTCTGTCGGCTGAGATAGCTCCGCTGTTAGCAATGATGCACATTTCAATTAAAGAACTGAAGATACTAATAGAAAATGAACAATATTTATAGTATCATAGCAATCGGACTTGCTATTTTCAACAAGAATTCGAAAATATCACTTTTCACTAAAAATATTCATCAAAATTAGATAATCGAAGATACCACGAAATGAAAAAATCTGAGAGAGATCCACATGTAGTGCCTATATATGTAATGTCAAAGCAATCAGATATCACAATGAAATAGACAAATCTGAGAGAGGACTACCCAATGTACATATACACCAAGTATCAAAGCATTCAGGCTTGTAGTTTTCAAGAAGAAGTCGAAAAAGTTGAAACGAACGCCGACGGACAACCACTCATGTGATAAGTTACGCTCGACAATGTCGACAGCGGAGCTAAAAGTACGATACACCATTCTTAAAATAAAAATATAATCATTCAATAAATGTAGAATAAATAATTAAACTGAACAAATAGATGCTTAAAAAAACTGGGTATGCAGATTGACTCAAGCTGAACTCACCATGTGCATACCATAATAACTGCAATCTTGTTTTGCAAATGTCAAGAAGGTGTTTTTATGATCTGGTCAAACTCTAACATAACATTATGCGTTTACTGAATAGATCACCTGAATCATTCTTAAAGTGAGCCGTGAACAGACTCAAGTGACTTCGATATAAGGATTTGTTGTGAGGATTATTATCAATAATAATTCTTGGCTATTAGGAGCTCCTTTCAAGGTCATCTACATCGGTCAAGTTCATAGTCATCATACATGTCAAGAATCGAATGAATATGTAGTAGTGTTTATTTTTATTGATACCGTATCCATGTTAAGATATTATTGTTAAGTTTGTCAAGAGGTAACACTATACTATACTTTAAACCAAACTAATATACCTATTTTTTTTCATTTTTTTAGTTGCTTTCAGACAAAAGAGCCAAACGAGCCAAAACAGATTTAGTAAATAACGAATTAACAATATACTAGTACTTCTATTACTATACTATTTCCAACCTTGAGAGTGCTATTAAATGAAAGTGCAGTTACTAATCACGTTATATTCAGCATGAAGCGCGTCCCTGGGAGTGTGGCGATTTGTAGTGACGCTGGTAATGAAAGCGCTCCTTCGGAATGTCCTGTTCGCAAACGTAACCCGAAGCAACAGCGATAGGCAAAAATGCTTAGGTTAGTCTCAGACTAGTCTGAGGGTTAGTATACTAGAAATAACACATGAATATTTTCTTTCTTGGCTGAAATAAGTTGTTAGTAGTAACACTGTAGCCAGAAATGGAAAAAACAGTACCACGAGCATTGCTGTGGTGACTCTGAACTCGTATTGTATTGGTGTTGCGCTTGCTCAGACGAGTTTTAGAATTCATACGCGTAGCGCGTACAAGACGTGGCCGTGCGCGTTTGCCTAACGCTCTTGTTTCCAACATTTTCATGGTAAGTATTTAGTGTTCATTTCTATGTAATTGCGATTCTTAATTTCTATGTCTAAAATCATATTGCTGCTGTGGACGGCGACAGATTGTTTTGTTCTGTGGCTCTCTGACGTTTTCTTGGTCGCATTTTGTATATACCAGTATGACACTGATAAGTAAGTAAACTGTTGACATACAGTCAACATGAGACTCGTTTCCGAATAATAATCAGA